ATTTACGTTTTTTCTCTCTAAAAATTTTATTTTTTATGCACTATTTTACCAGAATTATAGCAATATTCTTTTTTTCAGGTAAGTTGGCTAAAGTCCTAAAATAAATCTTCAGTCAGGTATGTACATTTATCACAAAAATATTTTATGTATTCATCAAACAAGTGTACTACGATTATTTTTTTAATTTAATGTAACATGTAGGAGAAACATTTAATAAGGAGACTAAGCAAATATATGCTGATGCTCGATTTTAGTAAACGGCATAACATATGATCTGTTAAGTTAGATGGAGGGAGTAAAATCAAGGGAGGGAGTAAAAAAAATAAATATAGGTTTAAGGTAAAACAAACCCTTTCATCTGGAAAAAACTGTTAGACGCTGAAATGAGAAAACTAAAGATAGAGAGAGAAAAGTTTAAATTTTGTGCTATATGTTTTTTACTAACAGTGTTACCAACACGATTATATCCAATTGATTAATATCTTACAAACAGTATTGCATATTGCTGTGGGTAAGACCAAATGCAATACAAAGAAATGTGCTGGCAAATGCAATGGTATGTACCTACGCCAATAGCGAAAAAAAGAAGAAGATAATCACAGAAATGAATAGTGATCGGAGACTCTGACAACATGTGAGAGACTTCTTCTCTTCTTCTAATGCCGCTACAACCCTTTGTGAGTCTTGGCCTGCTTAACAATGTTCTTCCATTCTACCCTGTCGGATACTTTCCTTCGCCACTGCCTGATGTTCATGGTTTTAAGATCCTTCTCTACGTCGTCTATCCATCTTTTATGGAGCCCTCTTCTTGTTCTGTTTCCTTGGGGCTTCTATCTCTGGACTACTTTTACAGCTCGATTATCTGGCATTCTTTCTAGGTGACCAAGCCAGTTTAGTCTTTGTGACTTTACAAATCTAACAATATCTGCGCTCTGCATTAGTCATTAATTTTTATATCTGGTGGATTACTAATAAGTCGGGTTATTAGTAATAAGTATACCAATATGCAATAGTATATCAATATGCTGACATATAGTCTTGCATATTGATAAAGATAGTTTAAGATTATGTGTATCAAACCATGTTGTTAATTCATATAGGATAAATTTTACCTGTATTGCCATATGAATAATATTATTACCTTTTGTTAGGATAATTATATCATCTGCATATGACAGAAGTACACAATTTCTAGTATTATTGTGTATATATTTTTAAGATAAATATTAAATAATATCGGGCTTAAAGGTGAGACTTGTATTAGACCTTGTGTAGTATGCGATCAACCATTTCGTGATAATGATTTTTAACATATATAGTCCTATTTTTTAAGAAATGAAATATAAGGTTATTAATGTCTATCGGAATATGAAGGTTATTAAGAAGTCTCTATAGTATCTAAATATTCACATGATCGAAAGCTGCTTTAATATCTAAGAAAGTAGCATTTACATATTGGTTTTGTGAGAAAACTAATTGGAAATAAGTTTTTAAATAATCTAAATTATCATTAAATTACATACCTTTTATTAATCTTACTTGAAATTGGTTAAAGGTTTTTTGATTTTCCACGCTCCAATCTAGCCTATTTTTAATCATCGATTCCAGTAGTTTTATTACATACGATCAAAGTCCCAGAGCCCTATAATTATCTGCTCTTAAATTATCTATTTGAATTTTGTTGTTTTTAGGAATACTGATGATAATTTTAGTTTTCTATTTAGTGGGAATCAGTTTACCTTCTTTAACTTTGTCGTATAAATATAGTAGCCATATAAGCCCTATTTCAGGTAAATGTTTTCATTTCATCATCATCATCATTATCATTTCTCTACCTCTTACATCCACTGTTGGATATAGGTCTCCTCCATGCTCTTCCACTGTTCTCTATCTTGCGCCTTCTGTATCCAATTTCCGACTGTTTTTCTCAAGTAGTCCATCCAACTTTTTGGTGGTCTACCTCGGTGTCTTTTGTCTTCTCTAGGTCTTCATTCTATGAGTTTTTTGGTCCACCTATTATCATTTAAACGTGCTATATGTCCAGCCCATCTCCATTTGGCTTGTGCAATTTTTTCTATGACATCTGTGACTTTAGTCCTCTCTCTCACTATCCTATTTGGTACCATATCACTTCTAGTTATTCCCAACATTGCTCTTTCCATTTTTCTTTGGGTTACTCTCAATTTATTTGCAGAATGTTTGGTTAAAGTTCTTGTTTCGGAACCATATGTTATTACAGGCAGTATGCATTGGTTGTAAACCTTTTTCTTCAAACAAATCGGTAGCGTTCCTTTTAGAATATCTCGCATCTTGCCAAATGCTGCCCATCCCAAGCTTATGCGACGCTGGATCTCACAAGTTTGATTGTCTTTTCCTATTCTAATTTCATGCCCTAAATAGATATAGCTAAAGACCTGATGTACTTCGTTCCCATCTACCCTCATAACATCACTTGGAACTAAATTGGTCACGTATTTTGTTTTTTTCAAAGTTTAAAGGTAAATGTTTTAACATAGCTATTAAAGTTCTTTAAAAATGGAATACTTTTAATTCTGTGAGATTGAATTCACTAGACAAGTGATCAATGGTCTGTAATTCAAAATCCGGTTCAATATTAGTTAGTGAAAGGTTAGTTAATATTTCCTAACTTATCTTTTCATTAGGAAGTTTATTGTTTGATGGTTGAGAGAATGTATTTTTAAATTTTCTTATAGTTTGCCAAATAGAGCTGATGTCTACATTTCTATCAATATTTCCAAAATATTCCATAAACTTTTGCCTCTTTATTGTTTTTAGAAGTCGTTTTGATTTAGCAATTATATGTTTTACATTGATATAATTATTACGAATAAAATTATTTTTAAATTCCTTTAACGACTCTTTTCTTTTATTAATTATTTCAGTGCATTCCTGATTCTACCCAGGCATTCTTTTCTGATATTGCATTTTTCTTATATCTCTGTTTTGTTTATTTGGGATAGCAATTATTTCTACTGCTTGGTTAATTATACTTGTGAAGTGGTCATAGGATTGATTTTCTATATTTAAATGTATTTACTATACTTGTTAAAATCAATTTCTCTAATGTTTTTTTAATTATATACATACCTAGTATAAATTATTCCTTTTCTGAAAAAAAAAACTTCACTTATTAATATCTGTACAGCTGAAATAATAGCTATTCAAAAAGTCCTAATGATTTGTTAGAAAAAGAATTTTGATAAAGCTATAATATTTATGGACTCAAAAAAGCGCTATAGACAAAATTAATAACAATATGATAACTCTAACAAAGTTAAAAAGAAACTGTACTATTTAAATAAATATGGTCAAGATATTAGATTAGGTTGGATTTCTGGACATAATGATATCGAGGGAAATGAAATAGCTGACAAACTGGAAAAGGCTGTTGCTGAATTAAATATTCCTGCTAAAATTAGATTAACGAACTTCGATATCATGCCTTTATTAAAAAATAAAATATGTTCTATGCATCAAAATAATTGGTTAAATTCTTTTCAATATAAAGGTAAGGGGTATAACAACATACAAACATTTTTTTCTAATAAACCATGGTTTGACACAATCTCATACATACATTCTGGGCCAAAATTAACCGGCCACCTTAAAAATGGGTAATTTTTGATTTCTTATATCTCCTAAATCTGTTGTTCGATTTAAGTGATTTTTTAAATATTTTATAGCCTTATTTCTTGACAATATCTTTATAATAATATTGTTGCTAAACAGGGAAATTTTTATTGATACCGGGTGTACGAATCAAACTGTATTTTTTTTCTTAAAGTTTGCATCACCCTGTGGAATATTCTAGCATTTGTAGAATACTGAAATTACATTGTTACTATAGCCTCATGCTTTTTCAATATTTTGTTTTTTGATTTATCTGCTTATGTTTGATAATACAAAAGTTAGGTGCTTTAACAACTAGACATGTTTTTTTATCAATTTTTATCTCAGTGGAAGAGAAAAAATAATCTTTTTGAAAAAAAGTCATTTGTTACAGTAAAAATCCAATGAATAAAATCTTCGAAGAAAATTCAAATTAACAATATTTTGGAAATCAAAGTCTACTTGAAAAAAAAAATTGGTATCAATAATGGGTATTGCCGCCTCTATCCCTTAGGACTTCTTGGAGCCAATTTGGCAATCCATTCATGATATTCTGAATATCAGATTGGGAGATATTGTGCCACTCCTCTACCGCAGCTGTCTTGAGCTCTTCAAATGATGCAGGGGCTGATACTCTTGCTCTTACCCGTCTTTTGAGGTTGTCCCAGATATGCTTAATTGGGTTAAGATCGGGACTGTGTTATAATGCATACAACAAACCTTTTATTTTGACCCCTATAGACACGTTGGCGCCTATCTGGACCTTCTAGGGTTATTCTGCTCTTATCTGAGAACAGTATATTCTTCCATTCCGCCATAGTCCAGTTAGCATATTCTCGCGCCAAATGAAGTGTTGCCCTACAGTGTTGTGGGAGCATTTTTGGTGCGCGAGCTGGACGAAAAGCCCTCAAGTTTATTTCTGACAGTCTTCTTCTAATCGTTTGCCTACTCACACTAACGTTTCTCACCTACGAGTCAGAAGAGACCTACGAGCTTCAGGAGCGGTGCAAAAGCGATTTCTCAATACTTTAGTGACAATGAAACGGTCATCTCGAACTGAAGTGCATCGTTTTCGGCCTTGACCTGGCCTGCTGTTGTACGATCCTGTCTCCCGAAATCGTCTAATGGTATCTTGATGGTATCTTGTACCGTAGTTCTGGATACATCGAGTATACCAAAAATTCACAAAACAAATGTACTCGCTGATTATTCAGTAGAATAAAAGCCAAAAAATAAGAAGAAAAAGCAGTGGTCGAAAATCTAAAGTGCAGTTAGTTTCCTACACAACGATTAATTTTTCTTCCTTAATCAACAACACTGTCAATTTTTGGTATTATTAGTTTATAAACAACATTTTGTCACAAGTCACATAAAACGTCAATATTTTTTTATTATAATTAAAAAATATTTATTACAGTTAGTTAAATCACAGAAAATTGTTTATCCCCTATTTAGTTATGTCCCGAACTTCCGGCAATTCTGTATCGACAGTAAAAAATGTAATCACTGTTAAAGGTTTGTGTTAATTATAATAAAACCCTATTTAAGTACATGCCAATAGTATTTTCTTCATTGCATTTCTTCCTCAATATATTAATAAATAAGATTTATATATAAAATTAAAAAAGAAAACTGCAAATTTTTTTATTTCAATCGTAGTTACTTATTATACTTTTATGCCTCGTCCTTCCCTTTATCCGTATTATATTTCTAATACTATACTTCAAACTTTACCATTCGTTTCATCCTCTCTTATTTTTTTTATAATAATTTCAAAACAGTTTTCTAATATTTGAACATTTTTGGTCGGCTCTCTTAAGACCTCTTAACATTCATTAGTATTGTTTCATTACCATATTGTCAAAAGTTGCATACTTATAGTATACATTTTTATTTAGGTTTAGACTTCAATGTAAAGCCGGATGATACACGACATACGTCGATATTCTATCCTGAACCAAAAATATCAATTCCTACTGATTTTCCCACTAGTACACGTTCTACAGAAGTTAATGATTTTGATACTTGTCCTATCAGCGGCTATGGTACTACAATAGTTAAAAATGAATATTATTCAAAACTGCAAAAGGAACACAAGTGTAATTTGTATGATAACTATGAGGATTTTAGCAAGACATTTATAGGTAAATTTTAAAATTATTACCATGCTATTCGTATAAGTACAAATACATATTCTTATTAGACTAAGAATTGTTTGTACTTTTAAATAAAAAAAAAAACAATAAAATTATTCCAAGCTTAAACATAAAAAATACTACCTAATTAAGAACCTACATACTTCGTAAGTAAGCTCTGAGAAGACAATATTTTTCGATGTGTTGTGCTACTAAATATCTCAGTGCAAATGAAAACCCGTTTATAACAAGCCTAATAAGGAGCAACCCTCCAAATCTGTACTCAAATTATTGCCCTAGAAACTTACCTTTCAATGAACAAATAAATCGATTCGAATTCGATATACATCAATTGAGAGCCACTTCTACAAATAGATGCCAGTATCCTCCCTGGAAAGTTCAAATACAAAAAGTAGATTTTACCTTACTTAACTATCCCAAACAATCACACAATCCTTCTGAAATATAACAACAATTCCAGTCTACCATCTCCAGATACCCTGATTTCAAACTAATTTTTACTGATGCCTCTAAAAGCAGCAATGGTGTAGCTGCTGCAGCTATTTTTGAAGACAACACCTCTGTTACCCGTCTAGCCAAGGAGTGTAGCATATACACTGGAGAACTATAAGCAATCTTCAATGCACTGAACCAATGTACCAGCAATGATATAAATTTTCTCATTATATCAGATTCTTTGAGTGCCTTAAATGGTGTCAAGCAGATGTACCCCACTCATGCCAATTTAGCACTAATAAAAGACATGCTATACATTGCCAAACACGTGGTAAAAACATTACATTTTTATGGGTACCATCCCATGTTGGAATAAAGGGTAATAAAGCAGCAGATAAAGCAGCAACAGAAACTATTAATAACATGACCATTCCCATTATGCAAAACATACCAATTTCAGACCAAAAAACATTAATAAAAACTTACATCGACAAAACCTGGCAAGTAAAATGGAATCAAACGGAAGCAAAATTAAAATTTATCAAACCAGATGTTACGTCTGCTTTATTACCGCTCCCAGCTCAAAGACATAACCAAGTTATTATTAACAGACTGCGGCTAGGCCATACAAAATTTACACATGGATACATCATCTCCAAAGACCCTCAGCCGATTTGCCACACCTGTCAAACACCATTTTCAGTGCAACACATAATGATAGACTGTCCAGTGTACTCAACAGCAAGATCGACAGCAAAAATAAAACACAACTTAAAAGAAATTCTAAAAGAAGATATCAGTAATACAATAAAATTTATCAAAAATTGTCAACTGTATATCAAACTGTAACATAACATAATTTTGTATTTATTTTTGTATTTTTCAAAACTATTATGTAAATTTTAATAACATATTAATGTAACTTTTCTAAAATAAAGATATACCACCCCGGTAATAACCCTAGGGGTTGATGCGGTAAAAACAAAAAAAAAAACAAAAAAACAAAAAAAAAAACTTCGTAAGTTTTCCCTAACAAAAAATAAAAATTAGGAACGCAGATTAATGAATGAAAGGTTGAAATTCCACAAGAAATCTACGTTCCTGTAGTTGGCTGTATACCATATATTAAAAAATTTATTAAAAATCCTTTGTAAAAGGTATCATTAAGAACACAAACGGGCTAAGTTAAGACACAAAGATACAAAGGATTTTTAATAAAGGTTGAAGTATTCCACCTCCTTGTGGTAAATAGTAACCAAATCTGTCATACAGATTTTTCCTCATATTTTGGAGTAGGGCTGGTTTAATGCTTGCAGAGAAATGAAGTATTTTTGTCCTTAATTCGACTAGGTTTGTGGCCCTTTCAAACTGATGTCTATAAATGTTTTCTTTGAGAAAACCCCAAAAAAAGAAATCGTTAGGCGCTAACTCACAGGATCTAGCAGGTCATTTATTTGTACCACGTGCACTTATCAGTCGATCAGGAAACGTTTGATTGAGGAAGTCAATAGTTGATCTAGGGTTGTGAGCCGAACACCGATCCTGTTGAAAATAAACCTCCTAAAAATTAACGGGAAGGCGTCGAACTACCGGAATAATCTCATTCTGGAAAAGTTGTTAATATTTGGGCCCGTTTAGGTTTTCATCGATAAAAAATGGACCGACAATATGGTCGCCTAGCATTCCAGTCCAAACATTTACCTTTTGCGGATGCTGCGTTCGCACTGCAACACTGAGGTGCTTATTTTTCCGAAAATAGTACCTTGCAACGGATAGATTGTGGTTTTTATGTAGTAAAAATGAAGATTCGTCAGAAAATAAAATAGTTTCTAAAAAATGTACATTTTCATTCTGTTTATCTAACATAAATTCACAAAACTCCATCCGCCTATAGTTACCTTCCGGAAACACCTCTTGTTGTATCTTAAAACAGTGCTACCCATTTCTTTTGAAAACACACTGCTCAGTTCGAGCATTCACGTTAACATTCCTAGCAATTTGTACACTATTGCAGGGTTCACTAATTTCCACAACAGCACAAATATAAATATCCCTGTTTTGACACTCCTCATTGACAGGTCTAACACTTTGTTTATTATCTTCATGACACTTTTTACAACTGTTTACACATCCCGAAGTTTGGAAATGTTTAATGGTATTTTTAACTGTTGTAACGCTTGGTGGGAGTCTATTTTCGTAGGCAACAATAAATATATCCATTACTTCACGTTTCTAATGACCTTGAAAGTACCATGTTACAAGTTGCACTTTTTTGGACGGTATACAACTTTATATGCATTTTATTAATTATTTGTTCATTCTTTCAGAATTTCGTTTGAAATTTTTAATGTCAATGTGCCAATTACGACAATTGGTACCTACTGTGAAATTAATATAGAGGTGGAAACGTGTCACAGCGATTGCCATTGTGTTGTATGGTCAATAAAACAATGTTGTGACCTGTATACCTGAAACAGTCTGTTAGCTAGTAAATTGTTTATTAACTTGCAAGTTTCAAGACAGGGTATGATCTGTATCAACTTATAAATAAGGCTCTCTCTTCAGCTAGTGTTATAGACTGCTTTTAGTTCTATAAATGTAGGGACAGCACTTTTCACAGTAGCTTCGTCCTCTTCTAAAACGGGCCACAATTGGTACAACAGCCTCAAGAGCATTAAATATTCTATTATAAAGGAGAGGTTTCAGTAATTTGTAACATCTGAGTAAGTAGTTCAGGATCCCGGGCCCATTTGTTCCCTTTATTACTGAAAAGCTAATTTTTCGCGAGTACTTTTGGATAAGTGTGTATTTTTTGTTAATTCTCAAGATGATTATTTACATTAACCGAAAAAATATTTGTCGTATAAAATGCAAGGTTTTATCAAAGAGCTCCCTTTTCAGCATTTATTATTAACGACATATATATATATATATATATATATATATATATATATATATATATACAGGATCCAATTTGTAAATAGAATACATCTTGGAGACGACTATCGCCGTATTCCCGTCCTCCTCCGCCAATCCTCTCGGTCCAAGGCATGCTCCTCCTTTAAACCTCTCGATTCCATTGCTCTTTTTCTTCTACCAGGGGGCTTCCATCTGTGAAGTTTTTGGGGCCAACGTTCGTCAGGCATTCTTAACAGGTGTCCAAACCATTTTAAACCTCTTCTTTCTATTTAAAATGCACCTAAATATTTAAATTTTTCCACTTGTGTGATTTCCACGTCCTCGTCTATCAACACTTCATACCTTGCATCTGAATTGATAACTAGATATTCCGTTTTCTTCATGCTGACTTTTAACCCCCATTTTACATATTCTCTGTATAGACGCTTTATCATAAATTCTAGATCATAAGAATCTTGAGCTAGAACGACTTGGTCATTTGCAAAGTTCAGGGAGAACAGTACGTCATTTCCTATTGTATATATAAATTAAACAGTAAAGGTGACATACTGCATCCTTGTCTCAGTCGTTTAGTTACTTTTATCGGCTCTGATAGTCTATTTCCGATTTTTAGGTAAGTGGTGTTATCCCTGTATACTTCTGTGATTATTCCTAAAAGGTGTGGACTAATGCCGAGTTGTTGTAAAGCTTGCCACAATTTAGGCCTTGGTACTGTATCATACGCTTTTTCTAGATCGATGAAGGCTAGATGTACTTCGTTACCAACTGCTATTCTTTTTTCTATTAATTGTTGGAGTATAAACAAGTTATCAGTGCAAGATCTACCAGGCGTAAATCCGCTTTGGTCTTCGCTAATTAGATGTCCTACATCATCTTGTATTTTTCTATTTATTATCTTTATCACTATAAAAATTTACTCCAAGAGTCCAGATTGGAATATATGGGAGAAGAATACAGTATGGAGAGACAAACAAATAGTAACATTAATACTACCAGCAACGAGGTCCGTACTGCGCTAATTAAAATGAAAAACGGGCGATCTTTAGGACCTGGCAATATAGCTGTAGAGCTACTTAAAGCAGGAGGTCCACTCCTAATCGAACGAATAACTTTTCTAATGAATCAATGCTGCCAACAAATTAAAATACCATCGGAATGGAAAACCGCTCACCAAGTGTCCATCTTTAAGTAATCGAAAAGATCCTAACTGCTACAGAGGATTGAGTGTCCTACCTACTTTCAGCAGATTGTTTGGAAAGATAATTATTAACGACATCATGAAAAATAATTAGTAACCACCTTATTTTTTCTGTTGGTTAGGTAATACTTATATATTTAACACCTTCATTGTCCTACAAATTGCGTGGTACGTAATCCTGGTCCTAGATTATTATATTTTTTCAGACCTCGATTTTATAAAAGTTTACTAAACATTTCTTTGCATGTGGAAATTAAATAGTTATGCTTATACATAACAAAGGTGGTGTTGGGAGAAGGTTATAATTATACTTCGGCAAATATGCAAATAAAAATGTAGAAAATATGCGCATAAATATGCACATGTTTACCCGAAAATATGCAAATATTTTACAAAATATGCATACAAATAAATAAAAAAATCGTAAAATAGTAACAATTTTATTTAAAAAAAAAGTGTACATAACTAAATATTTCCTATTATTCATTAAGATTTACATTTATTTTAAGTAACTACATCATTTTTAAGTGTGAATAAACTTATTTAGAATTATGGTAACAATAAATGACCAAGTGGTGTTCAAAATTTTCTAACAAAAACTTGTGGCTTCTGTCTGAGTACATATATTTATATATGGAAAAACTTCGTTCAACATCAACTGATGTAACGGGAGCATTTTTCAAACTAACCAAAACATTTCTTTCTAAATTAATTGTTTCCGAAATATTTCCAGCTAGAACACTGACTACTTCAGAAAGAATATGGTAACCTTTATTTTTTTCCATAGTAGCTTCAAATTTTTTTAAAGTATCTTTTCCAATATTACCTCTAACATTCCGACAACATGACGCAAATTCTTTTATTAATGCTGTACTTTCGAACAATGACAGTTTTGGTGATTCTAACTGAGTAATTGTTTTTTGAACAAAACTAAAATTTGATTTTATAAATGAAAGTTCTTGTTGAAGCAAGTTACTCTAAAAAGTTTGTTTAGAATTCAAAAGAGATTGGGAACGTTCATCTGTTAACGTATCAATTATGTTCTTTATTTTAACAAAATGATCTGCATAAAAATTAGCTGCTTCTAACCATGTTCCCCATTGCGTTAAAATAGGTTGTGGTGGAAGAGGAATGTTAGGTAGCATTTCTTTATAAAGTTGAATTCTTATAGGAGATTTAAGAAATACTTTTTTGACACTGGATATTATGGTATTTACAAGAGGAAACTTTTTTTGGTGTTTCCTCTGCAACTCTGTTTAATCCATGCGCTACACAAGTAACATGTATTAAATGTGGGAAAAATATTTTTAAATTTTGCCCTGCTTTCACCATATAAGGAGCAGCATCCGATAAAATAAGCAGTAATTTATTAGAAGGAATAGTTGTCGGAAGAAAAAAAATTGCTAATGTTTCTTGTATAAAACGCGAAATTGTTAAAGCATTTGTTTTCTCAAGTTGCTGGCATGAAATAAGATGAGATTTTGGTAAGGTATCTTCTTTAAGAACACCAATCAATAAATGAGCAATATACTTTCCTGAGGAATCAGTGGTTTCGTCTACAGATATGTAAAAATAATTATCTGCAATTTCTTCCTTAATATTTATTAACACCGACGAGTATAGCCCGTTCACATTATTTCTTCTTAGAGACCGATCACTTGGAACATTAAGTTTGCAATATTTTTTTAGAAACGAACTAAAATTTACATTTGCTAATTTTGAAAGCGGTATGTTTGCAGACACTAATGCGCGACACAGGTCTTCATTAAAAGTTTCTTGCTCATCTAATTTTTTTGAAGTAGATTGGAAACATTTAGCCATTGAAGTTTGATGTTTTCCTCCTATTTTTCCTTTTTTTCCAATGTGTGAAGCAGTTCTCACATGTTGGTCTATCTGAAATTTCTTCTCACATGCTATCTATAAATAAAAATAAAAACCTTTATTTTAACCTAACCTTTAAAATATAAAAATATACAAGGTGTTTTTGGTTAATCAAATAACTGGTTTGAAAAAAAAAACACTCGCTAATTGTTTTAAATCCAGTATTAATCCACAAATTAGTTTTTGTTACTAACCATTAGTACATCATATAACTTATTTTAAAATTCAACAAAAGTTTTTTTTTTGTTAATTCAATTACAATAAAAATAATTGTGTTTTAGAATAGCTGACTTCATAAAAAAAGTAAAGGTGAAAAATTTTTCTAAATACACACCATTGTATTGTACCATAGACAATTTTTTCTTACTAAAGGAAGCTATTTTTCATTTGAAAACAACCTACGAGTACTAAATTTCAAGTAAATACGTTTATTGGTTTTAAAGTTATTGTTGTTATTAACTAAAAGAATTTAATTTTTTTTAATTTTAACACCCTGTATCTCGAAAAGTAAATAAGATTGACCCCTCATTAACTATATCGTTTTGTTCAATTTTTCGAGAAGTATCTACAGTCAAACGTTTTAAGTGTCATTTGAAAACACCCTGTATGTATGAAATATTAGATATTTAATAGAAAATATTAGATACTTACAATTTTGCCACAGACTGAACAGTAGATTTTTCTCATATCCATAGACAGCTCTTTATAAGGTTTAATCCAAGTTGAAGCACTGGTTGTTTTAGGCATTATAAAATCACAATCTTCCTTTTTGTTACGCACAACGAGTGTTTACGCTTTAAATATCAAAACAAAAATGATTTACAAATCTGAGCATCAAATTAGAAATGTTTAGGTACCTAATTCACATAAACTGGGAGATTTTGGAAAATCCCTAAATTAGGAACAAAACTATTAGCCGTTTACCTGCTGTTAAGATACAATAAATTGTAGATAGATTTGGGGATTAGATCATAAAATGCAAATGAGCGAACCCTTAGCGATTATCCAATAACTGAATGCCTCAGTGACCGAGACTTTCTAAGAATGTTGAGGGCTACTTAAATTGATCTTCTTTGAAATTGTAAATGTTTTGTACCTGTAGAGATTACGTACTTAGATCATTTCTTGATTAAAATGACTACAAAATTTTATACAAGAATTGAAATAAATTGGTATGTTTAAAAATTTTCAAATACAATATAAAAATCTGAACTTTTATGCACTTCATGCAAACTTTTATACAAATATGCCAAAATATGAAATATTTGCATAAAATATTCACAATATGCAAAATATGCAATATGCATATTTGCCGAAGTCTAGTTATAATCATTGCTATATAGGCTTTGATAATGTTTTGATACTGCAAGAAGATTGCAGGAAGAACAATTTTAGATTTTGACATATAAACCCCGAAAAAGAAATCTTTTCTTGTTCTTACCTGTGAAATTTGTCATATTTTTTAGACGATATACTCAATTCAGCTGCAGAACACATTCGGTTAACTCAAAAAAGAGATGTAATATTCGGTCCAAAAAAATTTTCGGTATCCCAAAAACCTTTTGTCTGGCCTACAATAAAAGAATTCAGCGAGGTTAGGACAGGTTTGTAGAATTAATGTGAATTATGAGTATCAATATTATAGGTATTAAATTTTTGTTATTCAGAGATATATAGGTACTCAGTGACATTAGAATAATTTCTTGAACTCAATTTTTTTTTCAACAGAATGACTATATTTAAAACATGCTATGATAACAATACCAATGTTTTTCTACTTTTTTGTAAAAATTTTTTTTGTTTTTTTTAGTAGAAAAGTTTTATTTTTAAATTTTTTTTGTGAAGATACCGATTTGTGAAAACCGGTTCATATAGAAATTTGTAGTTATTATTCCTCAGTCTAATTGTATTCAGTGTAAAAAAATGCGTCGAGAAAATTCGAAGACACCAAAATATCCACCAAGACCAACTGGTCAACCATGGCGTACCACAGAGCATCAAGATTAGATTACTGGGTCTGTGAGACAGTTTTGCTACTACGCGTCAAATTGCCGATCAATGGTTTCATGTAGTAGGTAGACCTGTTAGTACGCAGATACTATACCATCGCATTCGAGCCCCTGGACTGGTTTCATTCCGTCCGCGACTAGTGCTTCCGTTGATTGCACTGTGATTAACGTTTGAATTGGTGCAGAGAAGGGCAGCATTAGGTGGCAGAATGGTATAATGTAGCATTCAGTGATATATCACAATTCTGTTTATAAATGCATGATGGTCAAAGGATTGTAAGACGCCGTCGTGGAGAGAGACGAGATATCGCGTTTACTGTTGAGAGGCATGTACATAAATGGTTTGGGGGCTATTACCTATGGTATCCGATCACCACTTATGTTTATTCGAGCCAAACTGACAGCTGCGCGTTATGTTGATGACATTTTGCACACTACTTCACTGCCTTATCTCGACGGCCATCGAGACGTCCTTTTTCAGCAAGACAACGCGCGTCCCCATATTTCTCGTCAAACTATGGACTTTCTCTAACAATCTGGCGTTAATATTTTGCCATGGCCGTCCCCTGCTCCAGATTTAAATTCTATTGAACATATATGGGATATGATGGGAAGGAGAATGTCCACTTTGTACCATCCTCCACAGACTCTAGCACAGTTAATACATGAAGTTCAAGTTGCTTGGAACGAGGTGCCACAATCAGACATCGATCATCTCACTTTGTCAGTTCCTAGACGTATACAGGAGTGTATTCAGCCACGGAGTCGCCAAAGACAATATTAATTTTTTCGATTACTTGTTAAAAAATTTTGACAGCGTTATTGTTTCATTCTTAAAGTCTAAGAAATTATTCCTTCGTTTGTAAAACTTCTAATGTCACTGAGTATATTTGCTGTGAAGACACTGCACATTTATGTCATTCATCACCGACACTTTAAGATACTGTGAGCTGTATTAATATACATATAGTATTGTATTATTGGAAAATCACTTTTTTTTTCAAATCTATCTTTTTCATATTTCAGACCAATCTATATTAGTTCTAACCTTTTATTAGCTTTATTTGTAGTAATGCTTTACGTCTTTAGTACGAAGGTCATATGTAAAAAAAGGTTCTTTATGCCGTTAAGAAAGAATGAGGGGTTTTAGAACAAATCTGGCAACACTGCATTACGCATCAACTCTTTCTCTCCCTCTCACCCTATCACTGACTGACGCCTCATTGCCTTGCTTAGTGCCGGCCTAGTAGCGTTCGAAGTTAGAGCTTTTGATCGCTGTAACCGCCAGATGCGAAATTCGTGCTGTGATAGGTTTTTAAATGCAAAACGGATTTTACCTATTGACATTCATCGTCAGTCAACCAAAATTAATGGAAAAAAGTGCATATCTGTCAAATGGTGTAAAAATTTAGTGAAGGCCAAATGAGAATTTACAATAAAGATCGGAGCAGAAGCCTTTCAGTTTTAGAGGAAATTGTCAAAAAAGTTGAACGAATATTGCTTAAAGATCAGAGCTTTACCATTAACCGACCGTGCTTTGCGTATTTGTAAAACTTCCCGTACCACAATTCATGCCCAGTGGTATAAGGCTTCTCCATGACAATGCTCGAACTTCTTCTTCCTGATGTGCCTATCCGTTACGAAAGTTGGCGATCATCATGGCAATCTTTATCCTATCAGCAGCAGCGCAGAAAGCTGCACAGATGTTGTATTGAACCAAATTCTGAGGTTCTTTAATTAAGATGTTCTTCTTCTTCCTGGACCTCGCTTTCCAAATATTTTTCCTTGCAGGATGGCTTGAAGGAGAGCATATCTCGATTAATTTCGCATAATATGTCCGAAGAATTGTAACTTTCGAGATTTAATGGTGGTCAGTACCTCTTGGTTCTTATTTATTCTTCTAAGGACCTCCTCATTTGTGACTCGGTCAGTGCACGAAATCTTAAGTATTCTCCGATATAGCCACATCTCAAATGCTTCCAATTTTTTACACATATCTTCGTTCAATGTACACAATTCAAGATCATATAAAAGGACAGAGAAGACGTAGCATCGCAGCATTCTTACTTTTGTATAAAGAGAGAGATTGTGACTCTTAAAGAAGGCCCGATCCGATTGAAGGTCGATTTAGCTTTTGCGATGCGTGCTCTAATCTCCTGATTGTTGGTCCATTCTTCATTTGTGATGGTGCCGAAGTAGTTGTAGTGCATCCCTCTTTCTACAGGAGATTGGTTGACGTAGATTTGACCTTCTGTTATCCTTTTCTTGCTAATTATCATAAGCTTTGTCTTCTTAACGTTTATATTGAGTCCATATTGTTGACTGTAATACGTCATTTTGTTCATAAGAACTTGTAGGTCTTCAAGTTGTCCGCAAATACTATGGTGTCATCTGCATATCAGATGTTGTTAAGCCGGTAACCATTTAGTAGAATACCTTTTTTGGTTTCGTGCAAAGCTTCGATAAATATTCTTTCAGAATACAGATTGAAGGTTAGAGGAGAAAAAATTCAGCCTTGCCTCACTCCACGCATGATTTTCACATAGTCAGTTTGTTCACCTTTAACTCTGAGATTGGCCTGATTCCAGTAAAGATTTCTAATTATTTTCAGATCTTGGTTGTTAATTCCTGCTTCTTTTAGTATTTGCATCATCTTGGCGTGCTGTACTCGATCAAACGCTTTCTCGTAATCAACCAGACATGCGTATACGTCGCAGTTAACGTCTTTGCATCTCTGCATCTCTGGAATAAGAACTTACTCGAACTTAAGCCTCACATAAGAGATTTTGGCTGGACTGTTATGCACCAACCTCCTCCTACAGTTTAGACCTAGCTCCAAGTGATTATAATTTATTCTAAAAATTGAAGGTGGTAATCACTGATTGTGGTGGTAAGGTAGGTGGTAAGGAAATTGGTCTTAAGGTAAACGAGGATAAGATCAAGTACATGGTAGTTACGAAGAACCCAAGACCAAGGGTTGGGCAAAACGTGACAATTAACGAATATAACTTCGAAGTCGTCAAAGAGTTTAAGTATCTGGGAGCGATCATAACATCTGAAACCAAATATGAAAATAACGTGGCGGCCAGGATAATAGCAGGAAACAGAACATATTACTCTTTAATGACCATCCTTAAATCAAAAATACTCTCAAGATCAGTAAAAATAAGAGTATACAAGACAATAATTCGACCCACAATAACGTATGGAAGCGAGACATGGACGCTGAACCAGCGGGAAATGACAAAATTACTGGTTCTTGAAAGAAAGATACTGCGGACTATCTATGGGCCTTGTAGAGAAGAAACAACAGGAGAGTGGAGAAGAAGACACAATAATGAACTCCAAACAATATATGGAGATGAAAACATAGTCCGCTACATTAAAGCAAACCGAATAAGATGGGCTGGCCACGTCCTAAGGTCAAATAACGAAAGACTTCTGAATATTACATTCTGGGAAAAACCCGATGGCAGAAAGTCAGAAGGCCGCCCAAGAAAGAGATGGAAGGACGCAGCGGCCAGTGATCTACGTAAAATGGGAGTGCAGCAGTGGGAAATAGCTGCTCAGGACCGACAACAATGGAGGGAAATAGTAAACACGGCCAAGACTCACCTAGAGTTCTAGAGCCAAATGATGATGATGATGATGATGGTAATCACTGAGGTGGCTTACGTTTTAGTACCGATGATGAAGCCAAGGAAGAGGTTACTCGATCGTTAAAGGATTGGCAGTAGAATTATATAACATGGGAATAGAAAAGTTAAAGCATCGTCTGCAAAATTGTTTAAATAGAAACAGCGATTATTCAGAATAATAGCGTAAGTTTTAAGTTTTAATCATGTATGACTAAGAATAAGAATAAAGCTGTCTATTTTTAAAAATTCATGGGAGCTTTAGTTTATGAATGGGCAGCTCCCTCTAGTTTTCAGGTTGAACTGCATTAAATTTGGATACATCAAGCTTTCGACTTCTTTTCTGAAATATTCATCAGCGATTCCGGGATCTCAGTCGCCTTTATTCCTAGATCTCTTTACTTTTACACTGTTCCCTGCGTTACTACGGCTTGGGACGAAGAACGATCCAGTTAGTGTGTCCATGGTGACGTGTCGTTTTGGCGAGAGTTGGCAAAAAGAGTTCCGATAGAGACTCTAAATGCTAAAGGTAACCGAGTGTCTAAATTTTTTTTAAACAATTCTGGAGTTTTTCAATTTTTATGGCTTCCCTAATATTTTTTTATTATAACTCATTTTATGAATCCTGCACTTTTTACTATGTATTAAAGCATAAAATTCTTACATGTATTTATTATCTGACACCAAGATGTCGTGTGTAATATGAACATATTATTATCTTTACTAAATACTAACAACTTCTCTTTCAAAGCATTCAAGATTGTGGAATGGATAGATTCAACGGCAGTAGTTGCTGAAAACTGGCTATATTCAATCATGATGGTATGTAAAAGTGCCAATCATATAAGCGACTTTTATAAATACGAAGCTATATTTTCCCTACCCACCAAATGTTACCCAATATCTCAAGCGACTGCAAGCGTTTTCTTTCATGTTGAGGTATCTAGAGTCATGTCCGAATTTTGTCCAGTCAACGTAACGTTTCAATTGGAATCTTTTTCCAGTAAACTGAGTCCTAGAACACACGTTATAACGGATGCTCTGCTCTTTAGGGTAATTGACGCGAAGATCAAAATATTTAAAAGCTATTATTTTTAAATTTAATCTTATAAATAAAAAAATTTGTCATTATGGAATATGTAGTTTTTTTTTATTATAAAACCTTAGATGTTTAGATTTGATAAGAATGAGTTAGGTTTTATTTGGTTCAACTAGCCATACTCATCGACTATTATAGCTGGGTGTATAGGTAATTTTGTGTATTTATATAGAGTACACCCTTGATACCCTGACGTTGTAATCCAACACGCTCGGTAGTCCGACGTACCTCCCATCAAGGTCGCCGTCGTGTCTGCTTGTACTGAAACCTGTCGCGATATGAATCTTCATTTTTATCGGATGCTTCAGTTCGTGTGTTTTCCGTGATATTGTTTTACAGTACGTAGTTCCAAACTTTTATATAATTCGTTTACAAAGTACAGTTCAATTGGAGAGCACAAGTTCAAAACGAAAGCATAAAACGCTGCGCTGACTCTAAATGATAAATGGCCAAATGGGATATTATTAATAGATGCGAGTGTTGTAAAACTCCGATTTCGATATCTAGATTCTATGGTACTGGACGAGCTAGATTGACCATTATAAAAAATAAAGACAAAATTGAAAAATCTATGAAATCTGTAGAGAATGGTTCTAAGGACAAAAAACCTTTAAAATAAGTGAATTTCCTGTTATTGAAGAAGCTCTGCGCATCTGGTTTAAGCAACAACTAAGCAGACTAGCTCCTATTTCAGGTAACATTTTAAAAAATAAAGCTGTTTTTTATCAGGAATTAACAAAGAAAACTCATTTTCGTGCTGGTCAAGTTTGGTTCGAAAACTTCAAAAATCGGTACGGAATACGATTTTTGCAGATGAGTGAAGAGAAGTTGATGAGTACTGGCGGCAACTTTCAATAAAGACATTTGTCACTTAAGACAAAAAAATTTTTTGGTAGAAAACTTCAGAAAGAACGTCTCACTCTGATGGTATGCACAAATCCAAAAATTGAAATTTTCAATCGTGGGTATGTCCAAAAAACCTCGTACCTTTAAAAATGTTAAAATTGAAGAGCTAATTACGTACATGTGACAAAGCCATGCATGGGTGACAAAAGAAGTTTTTCTGTATTGGTACAAAAACAGATTTGTTCCACAAGTTAAAGATGAGCTAAAAAAAATGAAACTGCCAGTGAATGCCCTCCTTTTGTTAGACAATGCTCCAGAACATTCTTATAAGGAGGAATTAAAAATCGAAATTGTTTTTGTTGAGCTATCTCTACAAGGACCAAATATAACTTGAAGGATTTTACGCTTGCACACCAGCAATTTATAAATAAATTTTTCGCATGCATATTCCAATGACACGTTAAAAAACAATGGCGACAGCGGAGCGTAATCCATTATTGCTACTAATATAATATAGGCCATGCCTTCCTATTGTATCATCGTTATCAATCAGCCAATCCTGTACAAAGGCTCTGCTGGACATATGCCTCCCTCAGTTCTTTCCAGTGTTCTTTACACTGGGCCGCTTGTAGCCAGTTTCCCGCTACACGTTTTATATCATCGGTATATCTAGTCGTTGTCGTCCTCGGCATCTTTTATAGTTTCTGGGCCTCCATTCCATAATACGTCGTAGTACGTATTATGGAATGGAGTAATTAAGTATACGTGTAGTCGTATACTTGATGTAGCGTTCACGTAGATGTTTTTGATTAGTGTCGTGTGCCTGTAATCTATTCGGCTTTGATTTAAGGGCTTCCAGTACTGTTTTAAACTCTACAGAATCAAAAGCCTTCTCGTAATCGACAAATGCCAGAACAAGTGGTGTGTTGTACTCGATGCACTTTTCTATTAAGATCTTTATAGTATGCAAATGATCATTTGTGCCATATCCTGCCCTGAAGCCTGCCTGTTCTTTGGGCTGATAGAAATCAAGTTTAGCTATTAGTCTCTTGGTTAAGATTTTCATAAAGAGTTTTACATATGTGCCAAGAGGCTGATTGGTCTATAATTTTCTAATTTAATAACATCGCCTTTTTTGTATAACAAGACTAACACTGCATTGTCCCACTCTTTTGGAATCGTACCCGCATGTAAGCATTTATTGAACAGTTCGCTTACTCGAACCACGGTCGATCACCAGGTGATCGATGGTTCTTCATTTCCTTTAAAGCTGCTCTTTCTTCTGACACAGTAATGGGTAAAAGTATTTCTCTCAGCTTTATCTCTCAGCTTGTATATTTCTTTTTTACCTTGTGTGAGTTTTCTTTTCATTATCTTAAAACCTTTGTTCTCTTCTACTGTTGTAATAGTACTATTGTATAGTGGGCATGAAAACTCACTCTGGTCCTATTCTTGCATTTATGTCACCTAACACAGTCTTAGCGTCATTTCTGAGCCAAACTGGTAGTCATCGACTATTTCCTCGGAATACGATAATGATCTTTTGTGCAATAGTGAAGTAAAGTTAAATATTTTTTTTTTTAATTACTAAAAAATATTATTTTATTTCTGTTGGAAAACTTAAAATACAACTGGCAATATTCAGTTATAAATATCGTAGAGATATATAAAAACGGTTATTTCCTTTTAAATTTTTATCCTTTTGTTACAGGGATAAATAGATAGCACAGCACATCGGTTTTTCGGTTCAGCGATTTCACAGTCTATTCATCGGTACTATTCTAATGTGCTGTCATCGCAACAGCGGCATTTATAATGGTTTTATTTTCACATATACATCAATTTACTCATTTTTTATGAATAGACTATAATTTCTTTTATTTTTATATTTTTGCGGTTCGTAATTTTCGCTAGCAGTATTATCAATAAAAGGTGGATACGACTCGGTTTGATTACTCTTTGCACATACGCCATACCATCATTCGTTTTATATGAATATTTAATATTGTTCTGAAGCTATTTTCTTGTGGCATTGTAAATTAATTACTATTTATAACTGGGAATAAGCCACAATTAAAGATAAAAAATACGTTTATTGACGTTTCAATTTCCAATTCGGAAATCGTTCTCAAAATACAAACAGTAAATTAAACAAATTTTGTTTTTTGTTACATAGTGAAAAATTCTTCTAATAATTTAATTTTATCTTATTCATTTATATTGACAATTCAGACATACATTATGCATTTTAAAGTAGACGACTTTAAAATGATATTGCCAATATTGTTGAGTTGCGCTCCTGGGACGACTTTACTATAAGATAGTTCATTCGATTACATGAAATCAACTTTAACTTGAGAATATCCGTCAGAAAAAATCATAGCATGTAATTCGTCTTTAAAAAGACAAACACATGACATGATGACAGAAAAATTCTCCTGTTAGTGATTCCATAGTAAATTATGAGGTAATTATACACCAATAGATATTTAAATTTCAAATCAAATCATAATATTAATGTAAAAAAAGGGAATAATTAAATCCTTATACGATAGAGCCAAAATTACTTGCTCTAACGAAAATTCGTTCTTGGAGGAGAAACATTTGTTAACATCTGTTTTATTAAAAAATGATTATCCTTTATCGTTTATAAATAAGGAATTTTCAACAATCGATCGAATAGAACAGAACAACTTAGAACGAGATCCTACAGCATACACAAGGAATAATATGAGGAAAATAACAATACCGTACATAAAAGGATTATCAGAAAAACTTAAAAGAATAGGACATAAATTCAACATTTCAACAACATTCAAAACAACAAACACGTTGAGATCTATTTTGTCCAAAACCAAACCTAACAATGAACAAGAAAGGACAAAGAATTGCATTTATAAAATACCTTGTGAATGCGATCAGTTTTATTTAATCGAATCATCAAGGCCATTAAATGTTAGAATAAGTGAACATCAATCTTATATTAAAAATAGAGAATTTGATAGATCTCAAATATGTAAACACGCATGGGATAATGAACATAGGGTTCAATGGAATAATTCAAATATAGTCCTAAAAGAAACGGATGGTAAAAAAAGAAAAATCAAAGAAGCGGCTCTAATTATGCTAAATGAGGTCAATTGTGTCGCAAATTCCTCGGCAGAATGTAGTAGGATCTGGTTACCAATATTGAAAGAGGAAGTTATTAATAAGAAAATACCAGTATTAGTAAGTCAGTAACATATAGAGGATACATCATTTATGTTTTTTAAATAACGTAACATATAAAATCAGAATTTTGATGTTTGTTGAAGGTAAACTAAATTCACGAACAAATACTTACAATGTCGGGATAGTATTATGAGGTTTTTTTCCTGGTTTTTCCCTCATAATTTACTATGGAATCACTAACAGGAGAATTTTTCTGTCATCATGTCATGTGTTTGTCTTTTTAAAGACGAATTACATGCTATGATTTTTTCTGACGGATATTCTCAAGTTAAAGTTGATTTCATGTAATCGAATGAACTATCTTATAGTAAAGTCGTCCCAGGAGCGCAACTCAACAATATTGGCAATATCATTTTAAAGTCGTCTACTTTAAAATGCATAATGTATGTCTGAATTGTCAATATAAATGAGTCAGATAAAATTAAATTATTAGAAGAATTTTTTCACTATGTAACAAAAAACAAAATTTGTTTAATTTACTGTTTGTATTTTGAGAACGATTTCCGAATTGGAAATTGAAACGTCAATAAACGTATTTTTTATCTTTAATTGTGGCTTATTCCCAGTTATAAATAGTAATTAATGAATATTTAAATCAAAACTTTTTAGTTAATCGTATTTTGTGTTATTTTTTACTTTTCGAAATTTAACACAGATCATGGATACTGATTTAAAATTTTAATAATACAAAGATTGCAATTAAAATATCTAGCATCAATCGATGTTCTTTCATCATATTTCTGTCTTTGGTCGAAATATTCTAGTGCAGACAGATAAACAGCATTATTTAATGGAGTAGATAGGAGACCTAATATAAAAATGAAAACTTCTATACATACATTGATAATACATTGATTACTGATCAGTGTAGTAGTGTCTGGGTGCTTGAACTTACTTATGGTGAGATTTAGTTTGACGCTGTGACTTTTACATATTTTATTGGATTTAGTTTTTTT